GACATTTTTTTGGAGAAAAATATAATAAATAGTTGAAATTCAAACAAATCCCTCTAACAAACACAAATATACATAATTTTATTATTTATAAAAAAAATAATACAATTTATAATAATAATATAATTAAATAAAGATGAGACAACATTGAAGAGGACTCAATCAGATCAAAATATTTTATTTATTTATTGCAATAAAAGAAGGAATAATAATTACAATAACGTTAACAATGAGACAGGTGGAATAATACGATGAGTGGTAATTATAATGTAAGAACTTCAGAAAGCATGAACACTTCCTAGCCCTTGGATGAAGCGGAGCGGTTGATCCAACGGTTCAAGATCAAAGTATATTTATTCTATTAATGACTTCACTCATTTATACCCTAACATAAATATTCTTCTTTTTTTATTAACTTTCAAATCATATCTATATATATATATATATAATATACTTTTTAAATTTAATGTATATATATAAATGTCAAACTCTTAGGTTAGGTTGTATACTTTCGTGGGTTTTACCGCATAATTTTATTATTTAATGTTTTTTTCTCTTAAAAAAATCACATTAAATATATTTTTTTTATATTATACTACAAATTTATTTTATATTCAAAATATCACATCAATGTCTATTTATATCAAGGTCAAACAATTATTCAAATCAACTTTTTACTGTTAAAAATCCAAAATCTCAAACCCACAAACAAACACACTTTTGTTTTTTTGTTTTGTTTTTTTTTTTTTTTTTATCATATATACATATATTGAAATATCAAATTAAATATGTATTTTTTATATTAAATTAAAAATTAAATTTACATTCAAAATATCATACCTCCGTCCCATTGAAATGTTATCATTTTCCATTTTCGTCCGTCTCAAAACAAGGTTATTTTCTAATTTAAGTAGTTGCACTACCTGCCTAATATAATAAATACTTTTCCACTTTACGCTATTACAGAAATGTCATTATTTTAATATTATACAATACTAATAAAGGTATTTTCGTCTTTTTTCACTAGAATCCATTATAATACTAATATTAAAAAATATATGTGAAAAAAATAAACGATAATCTTGCACCAGGACAAATGAGTATTAATATTTACTATGATCACGTCAAGCAATTATTACAATTCAAAATATTATTCAAACCAAAATCTAACACTCCAACTCTATAAGCAAACAAAGGTTAAAAATTGTTTCTTTGTATTTTTATCTGATTTTAATTATTTATTTTTACAATTTTCATGTAAAATATACTGAATATTCTCTTAAACTTTGACTTTAATTTTTGATGTTATATATTTTTTATTTTTTTTTAAAAAAACACTAATCAGTTTTATGGAAAATTATAAAAATAAATAATAAAAACTAATAAAATTCCAAAAAACACATCTAAGACTTCTTACATGTATTCATTATTCATTAAAAATATATATATATATCTATCAAATTAATTGTTTATTTTTTATACTCCATCCGTCCCGCTGCAAGGTTGTCATTGGCTTTTTAAATATTGATATTTGAATATTAATTATTATATCAAAACGTAGTATAAATCGAGAAAAAATACAAGAATATATTTATTAATCTATTATATTAGCAATACAATGATATTTTTAGAGTAAATCATTCAAATATAATGATATTTTTAATGCCAAGTACAATGACGTAAAAATCAAATGACAATCTTGCGGTGGAACGGAGGGAGTATTTAATACTTATTTATAACACAAAAATAATTATTTCAATTTATAATTTAAAAAATTCAAACTACAGAAACATATTCAATAACTAATTTGATATTAATAAAAAAATCACACCCCAAATTATTCTTTTAAATAAAATAATCGAGTCCACCACATGTTCTCGTGAAAGCACTAATTAAAGAGTTAAGACCCTCTAATAGTCAATCAATCACGTGCAGGGGCACGTGTCCGGGCCCACATTGTGTCGGTGACCACGTGTCAATCTTTGGTAGGACGTAATGTTTGGACTTCTGCATTTGACCGCACCGGAATATTTCTCACGTACGGCTAGAAACAGCGGTGCCTCTTTGTGCGTGCTTTTGGATGATGCCACGTGGCACGCGGATACAGCTCAGTGGGATTAGGTCTGTAACCTCAGCTAATTATTAATTAATTAAACAGAAATATTAAAAGTATTTAATATTAATCATTAATTAGCGTTTGACTAAGGTTATTAAAAAAATAATTTCTCATGCAATTAATTAATTAATTAATTGATTGATTGATCATCAACGCCAAGTTTTATTATGTCCATTTGCTATTATTTAATTTCCACTTGAACATAATAGGGCTTATTTTGTCCATGTTTGTATTTTAATTTTAGTTTTAATTTAAATACTATTTAAATACGATATTTTATTAAATAAAATAATTTTTTTTGTCCGAACTAATTAGCTATTTTGTTTTGACATAGAGACTAAAATATAATAATATTTTAATATAAAAATAAAATAAGTAAAAATAATTTGGGGGTATTATAGTAAATTTATATATCTAAAAAATGATAAAAAAAAACATGATAAGTTAAAAAATAGTGTTAATTAGTCATTATTTGTTCGAATACGTTTATTAAAATTATAGATAAATAAAATGATTTATTATAAATAAATTGTATATAAATTTAACGTAAAATAAAATGAGATAATTATAACGAATGAAAATAATATAATTTTATTTAAAACAACTATGATTGAACAGTAAAAAGGTGATCTTGAAATAAAAACTAAACATAAAAAAGTGTATTCTCTTGTGATTTGTTTGTTTGATTTTTTTATTTTTATTTTTTCTATTTTTACACTGTTAAATCTATAAAAAAAATTTAAAAAAAAATGATTTCTAACGATGATTGAACTTCAAAAAATAAAATAAAATAAAATCTTGAATTAAAAAAAAAAAACCCTTTGTCAAATTCATTAATTTTGATTTAGAATATGATTTGATTAGATTTTAATTTTGATTGAACTGGTCTTCCAATCAAATTAATTAAATTTGTATTGAATTTCCATGATCATTCTTGTTGGGCTTTTCTGGCGGGTCACAATATATGGGCCCGGCCCATTAAGGTTCGGGCCGAACATAGTAACAATTATAAATAAAGAAGAAACATTTTCACCATGCTTTTTGTATAACAATGAAACGTAGGTCAAGGTAATACATATATATATTTCTAATTAATAATAAACTAAAGAAAATAAGTTAATTTTAATGTAGCCCAAAATTTTGTAATTAAAGCTACAATAAATCTTATGTATGCATATATATGGATGAGAATATGATGTACTTTATCCAATTATTTATGTATAAATTTATTTAATTTTCTTTTCAATGATTTATTTCTACATCACAAACCTACATAAAATTGTTTGTTATTTTGTGATTTCAAACTGAAATCTATATAAGTATTAATGTAATATTTTGAATGTAAATTAATTTTTAGTAAAAAAAAAAATGTTCGATTATATATATATTTTTTTTTTTAAAAAAAAAAACTTAATAATATTAAAATTATGTGAAAATTCTTCAAACAAACCTAGTATATATAAGTTATTTTTATTTGCACTATAAGGATAAAAATACTATAGTGTAAAGAAAAAAATAAAAAATAAATCTGAGTACAATAAACATAATGCATCTATATTTTTATTTAATTTGTGTACTATATAATATATAATAGTATATATATATATACTCATATAAAACGATATAAAGAACTTATTCTATGAAATTTAAATCTAAAACAATTACAAAAAAAACTTCCCAAAAAAATAAAAATTGACAGGACATTTTCCAAAAGACAGAAGGCTTTTTCGTTCCCTTTTAAGTTATTTTTGATTTTCTATTTACTATTCAGTTTTATCGTACCAACAAAATAATAGTCCCTTCAGTTTCAAATAAGATGAACGCATTACTAAGTAATTAAAAAGTGTATTAATAAAATAATTATAAATTAAGATTGAGATAACTAAATAATTTAATTAAAATTTAAAAAAAAATTAGATTTTTAAAATTTAAAATATAATTAAAGTGTATAATCAATCTTTTTTTTAAAAAAAATAACAAATTATGAGGGAACGATAAAAATTGAAAATATGAACAAATTATGTGGGACGGAGAAAATATATTTTTTCATATAAAATACATTCAATCATAATTTTACCTAAAATAAAAAATAAAAAATTACTTAATACAAATAGAAAACACCCAAAAGCATTATCAATCACAACATAGTCCTCCATAGTTCTACCAAGACCCGAAAAAGAAAAGAAATTTTAAAAGAATAACAATACACAAAATATGTAAAAATATGAATACATATATATATATATATATAGTATTCACGTGATATGGCTCTACTATATTACTTACATATATATCTGCACTTTATCAAGAACAGTTTTTTTTTTTAAAATCAATGTTATATCAATACATATTTTATCATCTCATAAAATTTATACTCTCTCGGTCCCAAACACTCTACAACATTTTCTTTTTGGTATGTCCCAAACACCCTGCAATATATCTAAAATAGAAAATAATTAATTATACTTAATCTCTATCCCACACTTTATCCTCTCACATCGTCCAAATAAAAAAATAAAATATATATTTCTCTCTCCATCACATCACCTAATTTCTAAATTATTCTACTTAATACTACCCACCTAAAAACCCGTGCCAAAAGTAAATATTGCACCTTGTTTGAGACGGAGGGAGTAGTATTTTTTAACATTCCTAAAAAATTTCAAAAAATAAAAATAAAATAAAATATCTTGTTTAGACTGGAACCTAAAATTTTGGGCAAAAACATAAAATAATTTATCCCCTGCCTAGTAGAGTGGATACACAGAACTTTAACGGCTAAGAATCTTCAACTGTTATCAAGAATAATTATTCCTTAATATATATATAAAAGTGATATGGTAAATAATAATAATAATAATAATAATAATAATAATAATAATAATAATAATAATAATAATAGTTAAAGAAACGCAAGAGTGGCTGGTTACATGAGCAGGAATTTGGTAAGGAGAAGGAACAATTGATTAATCAATTTTTCCAAAGATTAATAATAATAATTGTTACATAAAATAAAAATAATAGTAAATATATATATATATATATTAAATAAATAAGCACCTTGATGTTTTTTGCAAATTTATTTCTTCATGCAGTGGAGGATGTTGAAGTTGTGGGTCCAGCTTCTGTTTCTGTTGATGTTTGAGGAGGATTAATATTACTCGAATCACCTGCATGCATCCAACCTACCATTAATTAGTTATCAATTTCTATTAGAACCCGCAAAAATTAATCAAAGTAACCAACATGACAATCCGATTATATATTACTTAGTTAATTTATTATATATGTAAAGTATTTTTTAATTTAATAATTAGAACACATTGTAATTTAAATTAAATTTAATCTTAAATAATTCAACTTAATTCATTATACGCATTATAATAGAATTGATAAAAGCGAACATAATATGACAACCTAACACGACTCGATACAAAATAATTGGGTCAGAATAAAATTTTTTGACTCAATTATGTATACAGATCAATACAAGTCCCATATAATAATAAAACAGATTAAATTAAAATTGAATAATTTCACCAGTATAAAATATTCAACCTGAAATCCGAATCTATCTAAGCAAAAATACAAACAAACAAACAAATAAATAAAATGCACAAATAAAGGTGTAAGCAACAACAAAATACATATTGTATGTTGTCAGGTCAAATACTCATTTTTTATTTAAACTATAATATAAATATATATTTATTATATAAATATCGTATTCAACACAAATTTATGTCTAATTTCTTTTACTATTCCCAAAGTTATCAAATTAATACTAGTTATATTATATTACAAATTAATTTTATATTGAAAATATTTCACAACCTTACAAACAACTTGTATGTATGTTTGGTTTTAATTATTTCCACAATCCCGAATACTACATTTATACATATTTTTCAATAAAAATTATTGTATGATATCATTGTATCGAACAACAATTATGCCTAAAAAGCAATAAAAACCTAACCACACAAACCACAAACCAAACACTTTATACATATCTAAACACAACCTAAAACTTTGTTCACTTATATTTTCAAATTGGTATTTGCAGCATATATACATTGCACTTAATAATTATTATTTTATTTAAAATATTATATATATATATATATGAAAAAACCTATTCCATATTCACGACTTACTACCCTCAAGGCTCAAACCAACCCAATACTTCAAAAACACTTTCATTATGATTATGATCATGTATATGAAATGCAAAATACTATATCTACATGGATCAACCGCTGACCCATTCCAATCAACATAGTGCTGATTGGCCGGATCTATACGAGTGATCAACGTATATTTGTATATATTTTAACATATTTATAATACAAACGTATATTTATACGTATCTTAGCATATGTTATCTTATAACACAACATATGCTAAAATATATCCATTTTATAACGCCTATACTAACCCAGTCAAATCAACATCATGTTTACTTAGTCAGATCAGCAATCAGGATCTACAGCCATACTATATATATATATATTATTTATATATATCATGAAAATTTCCGAAAAATGGAGACAAGCACCAATCCAATGTTGGCTAGATTTGTCTGAAACGCACATGGTGGCACCATAAGTTTACTGCCATGCCTCTCTGGCATAAATTCCCATTTGACCCATTTGATGGGTATCTGTACAGCTCACCTCACGTGCTAACACTTTCACCCCCACCCCCCACCCCACCCCCACTTAAATTATATATCTACATATTGTTTATATGATATCACCCCAGCTAATGCCACATTTCAGATCCATATGAATAAAGCAGAATTTGAACAAATAAAAGATGTGATCATCAATGGAATTATATATATGTAAGTACTTTTAATTAATTGCATTTACCTGTGGAGGCTGGAAATGGAAGCCTTGGCAGTTGCAATATAGGAGGAGGTGGCGGCGGCGGCGGCAGCGGAGGGTAGGTAGAGGAGGGTGGCGGCGAGACCTGCGGTGGATAGTAAAGATAAGAGGGTCCTTGGAAGCGTTGGGGTTGGGCGGTGGCGGTGGCGCCGGGGGATAATGAAAAGGATCCCCTAGGTGCTTGTAATGAATATGATCCATAGTAAAATGGAGGAGCTACCATGGCTCCGGAGGACGACGACGGCGTCGGCGGCGAACCGCCGTACACCGGATTGTAATACTGTGCTTGCTGGAATTGTGAGCTGTACATTGCCTGTCCAAACAATTTTAGCCACAATGTTATGTATGTACGACCTAACTATATGTTGTTAGTTCTTGATTGATCTTGTAACATATTTGAAATTAATTTGAAATAAAATAATTATAGGAATGGTAGGGCAGTGGAGGATGTTGTTTAACCTGGTGGTAACCATAATCTGGTGGATAGGCTGCATACCTGACAAAAATGTGACAATAAAAATACATATGTTAAGCAAAAATACATATTTTAATATATTTATAATACAATATATATATTATATTATATTATATTATAAAACAATATATATGTCATCTTATAATACAACATACATTTGGCCGGAGCTACAGCCAGAAATTATATATATATATATGAATGTATATTTACATATATTCTTACACTATTTATCATTTTCAAAATATAGTACTTATATCAAATATTTGATTTTCCATTTAAAATAGAATATTAAAAACATATACTCTATAGAAGATATTGTATCCATCATCTATTTACATTATATTAAATACTTAATAAATTTATTCAATTTTCTACTAATTTTAAAAGTTCTCAAAAACACTTAACAAAAGATTGTGTTTGGAGAGTATTTATAGATATATGATTCTAATAAAAAAAAACTATTAGAAAATACAATATATAATATAAATTCACTTCAAACTATAAAAACTAAACCTGCAATCTTTTAGTTACTATTACATTCCAAAGACATCTTCTAGTCTTAGCACATCATTCTACAGTACTAATTACTATGCATACTTTGACAACTAAAATGATGTATATGAGTGAGAAGTGAAGTATATTTTTGAAAAATAAAAAAATTACCAGAGTTAAGAAGAGAATAAAAATATGGTAACTATATTTTACAGTTTAGTAGGGAAGAAAGTTAGATATCTGTAATTAATATAAAGTTAAATGCGTGCTTGATTACAGCTATTAATGACACCCAGATGATGCCACAAAAAAGGAAATCAATATCAATATACATAATATAAAAATAAAATAAAATAAAATGCAAGAAATTAAATTTTAGACGTGTAGAAATTAATCATTACCGTTACATAGTTTTAAATTTCACATTGAATTTTTAGTAATGGTGGAGATCAATAAAAGACTCCTCACTTTCCACTGACCATGACAACTATAGTCAATATATATATTTACATTGTTCATCTGTCAATAACCACTGCATTCAATAGAATTCAGCCATTATTTCACTTTCTATTTTATATATATATATATATAATATATAATATACATTTTAATTTTAATTTTTTTTAAAAAAAAAATGAAATATGGGACAACATCTATTCATAAGTACTGATACCCCACCCTCTGCCTGCCATATAATATTTTGTATAATGTTCCATGGCCCATATTTCACAGAAACAATATGGACATAACCATAAACTGCTGCAAAGGGAAACATACATACCCGTAAGGTGGATAAATGACCGGCGGAGGCGGCGGCAGAGGCGGTGGCAATATGGATGGATGCGACGGCGACGGCGATCCACCTAGCGCCGTTACACCGCTTTGATATAAAGTAGACGGTTGATTTCTTCCTATAATTTCAGCAAACCAATAATCGCATATATGTATAATGAATAGGTGTTATAATGAACGAAATGAATACCAAATTTATGAGCTATTATTAGGCACTGTTTTTGTTTTGAATCGAGAAAATTACCTCTAGGAGGAGATGGACGAGGCCTTCCCAGCGATGCGATGTTGCAATTAGCTCTTCTTCCGTCAATAACAGGATTAGGATCGGCGCAAGCTCTCCTCGCGGATTCAGGATCTCGAAATGTGACCTAAATTGTGCGAAATGAGATGAATCGAAGCTTCAAAACGATGAATGCGTGTTAAACAACTGCATTTGTGTTGAGCAGTGAGAAGATTTTGAAAACGTGTATGGAGAATCAACTAACTGACATATATGTAAATCACGTATTGCAGAGATGGATTATATTGACTTATTGTATGTTAACAATATAGAGAAAAAGCTTGAAAGCGATGGAAACCGAATTCAAAACCGTAATTCCGACGAACTGTGAGTCTGAAAAAAAATAAATCCACAATCTCTTAAAAATCGTGCATCAACAAACATCAGTAACGTTGTGCACATACAAACAGAAGAAGAATCAATGGAAAATTCAAATAATCAATTGAATAGCGTGCTTACGAATCCATATCCCTTCGATTTGCCAGTGTTCTTATCGTTGATAATAACCGCCTCGAGAATTTCCCCAAACTGCTGGAAATAGGTGCGCATCACATCGGTCGGTGTTTCCCAGGCGAGACCTCCGACGAAGACCTTAGTGTACGTGGTGTCCCCAAACGGCGATCGGTAATGCTGGTGAGCCATGGCATATCTCCTTGTAACTAACTGTTAATCAATCAAATCAAAAAAATCAAAACAACACAAGCGATCTTCTTCTTTTTCACTTCTTCTTCTTCGTTCCTCCTCCTCCTCCGCCGGCGAGTGGGAGATGGAGAAAACACGGCGGAGAGAAGAGAGAGAGAGAGGAATTTGACAGTTGGAAACACGGAGGGGGAAGAAGGGGGCAGCGATTTGTGGCTTGGTGTGCTCCAATTGACAGCTGCGTCGCTAAAGAGCACTTCAAACTGTCCAACCTGTCCCCCCTTCTCTCTCTCTCTCTACCCCTATTCCACCATATGCATATATATATATATATATATATAATACACAAATATATGTATGTATCTACACTATATATATTGGATAGGGTTTGTGAAAGATAATTCTTCGATTAAAAAATATTTACCCAAACACGTATACTTTCTCGGTATAATAGGAAAATTGATACAGTAATTAAAGAATAACAGTACTTCCTCCATGTCGTAAGTAAATATCTATTTACTTTTTGTACATAATTTTAAAGATATTAGTATTATATTATGATATAGTAGAGAACGAGGGAGTATTATATTAGTAGTAATTGTAAAAATATTTTTAAAAGATAAAAATATTTACGTAATTATTGTAAAAAATAGAAATAATTTTGTAACAAAACAAAGACTTTGTTACAAAAAATCAAATTGAAACTATTATTTTAAAACGAACAAAAATAACAAAATAAAATTATTGTTCTAAAACATAGAAAAGTATAATATTTAAAAAAATCAATTAAATAAAATGTATTTTATAGTACTTACATAATTTACTCGATACCTAAAAAAGGAAAAAAAGAACACCACGGACTAAAAACCCTTTATTGGTGTTTTTTGTTGTTATATAGTTTAAAAAAATATTTTTTTTATGTACAAATTTAGAAAATATAAAAATAATAAATACGTATAATATAATTTTTTGAAATATAAGTTAATAAAGCGGATGAAAAAATATAAATATTTTAATATTAAATAGAGTAGATAAAAAAAATAAAATGATGGTATAATAAAAATTTTATTAAAAAAAACAATAATAATAAATGTAATTGAATAAAAAAATAAAAATAATAGTAAATTGATTATTACTCCATTTGTCTGGAATTTTTATACCATTATATGACTGTAGACTTTGATATGATCAGGCAAACTTAGCATATCTATTGATTTGATCTTATTAACAAATGTTATAGGGGTAATTAACATATGATTAGCATATATTGCCTGATAAAATAGTATATGATGGATTATAATATAATATATAATGTATTATAAATATATGTTAATCATCTTATAGTTTATGTTAATCCAATCAAATCAGCACAATGCCGACATGATGGGATCAACCGTTGATCCATGGCCCCATTATATATACCTGGATACGAAAACTAAAAAATTAATATAAAAATAAGTTACGTAGAAAATAAAAAATTTATCCTAAATAAATTGCGTATAAATTTAGTGGATATCCAAAAAGTACGGTGACATGATTTTATCAGATTGATGAAGTACTTTCATTGTTGGCTAAAATTACAAAGCTTTTGGTTGTGTTTACACAAATACTTTTGAGGTTTTCAGTACTTCCTCAATTCGACTCTAAGGTCTCATTTACTTTTTGCGTTATTATACTTAACATTAAAAATATTTTTATATTTGTATAAAAGGTAAATAAGACCTTTAAGAGCAAACAAAATAAATATTATATGAAGGGAGTACATTTACTTTAAAAAAATAATAATAAAAAAAAAATTGATACATTTGTGATGGACAGATTAAAATCGCAAAATGAGTAAATTGGTGATGGATGGAGGGAGTATATTGTTTTATCTTACAAAACATTATATAAAAATACTATTTAAATAAAAATTTCAATTAATATCACATTTCAAATCAATTTCAAAATACAACCAAACAAACCCTACAATTTTGAAAATTCTTGAACTCCAACATACCTTATTTATTAGATGTGGATTTTACAATTTAAATGTATTTTAATCTTTACATAATTATACTTTAACGATCAAATATATATTGCTAATTATTAATCAGGATAGTATATGTATATATTTGATACATTTTTCTTTTAATAAAAATATTTTATTATAAATTACATAATATTTTTTAAAAAAAAAAAAACAAAAATTCACACAAAACTATCAACCCACCTTAATTAATTAAATTTATAATTATTATTTCAATGTTGTTGAGGTTTGATAAACACAATAAATACAATTTAAATGATTAATTAATTCATCTACATATATATATATATATATAAATGTGCATATTTAATAAAAATATTATATGAATTCAAGAGATATTATATGTTAGTATAATAAAAATATACAAAACCCAACTTCGATTAATGTAATATAACACAATATATATATTTTCATAACGCGTGACAATAATCCAGACGGTACATATTACCAATAATTTTACCATATACTTTCTCTAGAATGTTCTAGATAATTTGAATATATTACCGTGGATACAATAATTTAAATAAAGTATAATTATTAAGTAATTAAAATATATATTAATAAAAATAATTATTATATAATAAAATTAATTATAAATTAAGATTAAGATAAATAAATAGTATAATTAAAATTAAAAAAATTATAAATATAAAAATTAAAAAATAATTAATTACATGGAAATAATAAAATAATATCATAACTTACTATTATTAACTAATTAAATATTATTATCTTAAATACTGTATCACTAATGAAAGAGGTCAACTGAGCCGGGTACGGAGAGAGTAATATCTTATAATTTATGTAAAAATTAAAAATATTTTAATATCAACGTGTAATTGCTTCTATTATAATAAGAAATAAATACTTTATTTATCCCGGTTTAATCAAATCAGTTTTATTACTGATACGAGATATTTAAGGTAACGATGTTTAATTAATATTAATAGTAAGTTAGAATGTTGTTTTATTATTATTTATATAATTAATAATATTGATAGTTTTAAAATAAATTTAATATATATTATTAAAAAATTAGAATATTATTTTAAATATTTAAAAAAAATACTCGCAATAAAAAAAATATATTTATCATTATGTAGAAAATATATATTTTTTTATAGTATAAGTATATAAAAATTATATGTTTATCAATTTATTATAATTAATACAAAGTAATTTTATAAAAGTTGTAAAATTTTAAATATAGGTAAAATTATATGTTTTTTTAGGAGAGATAAAAATAAAAGAGTTTTTAATAGTTTCCTATAATTTATGATGGTTTAAATTACTTGAATTATATTTGTTAATTATATTTTAATTTAGTAAGTTTACCAAAAAAAATATCAATTATTATTATATAACAGATAAAAATAATAAAAAAAATGTGTAAATAAAAATGAAACGAATGAAAGTATTTTTAGGATGTGTTTGTCTGGGAGATTGGATTTTAAATATATTATTTATCTAATTTTTTTCCTCAAAAAATATCAAATCACAACACCTATTTTTTATTTTTTATATTATATTAAAAATCAATTTTATATTCAAAATATCACATTAGCACCTATTTATATCACATCATACAACTATTCGAATTTAAAATTTTTACTATTCAAATATAACTTAAAATCCAAACCCTTAAACAAACACACCCTTAAATAAATCAGATTAAAAAAATAATTAAATAAATAAAAATTGTCTAAACATAACACAATAGTGTGTATATATATGTTGAGAGATAGATAAAGAGAGTAATGTGGACAGAGAGGTAACAGGCTGCGAAAGAATCAGTACAACCACATGATCTCACGTTCCTAACATTCCAATCATTACCTTACATCCTTAGCTAACTGTCCTAATTTCTATTTTTAATTTTATTTAATTTTATTAATTGCCCAATCATTAAAGGATGAACACTGTTTCCGTTATTTGCCAATATAACAAATTATATTAATACTAGTTACTCCATCTTACAAGAAGAGTAACTTTTGCTTTTCGCACGTAAATTTTTTAATATTAATATTATATTGGATTATAGTAAAAAAATATTAAAAATATTTTTATTAGTATTGTGTAATATAAAGATGGTGACATTTGTATAATATATTGTGAATTGAAAGAGTATTTATTATATTAGGGGTGTGTTTGTCTGGGGGATTTGATTGGATTTACACTATTCATCTCATTTTTTTCCCCAAAAATATTAAATCAAATACTTATTTTTCATTTTTTATATTATACTAAAAAATAATTTTACATTCAAAATATCACATCAACACCTATTTATATCATGACATCATACAACTATTCAAATCCCAACTCAAAATCCAAACCCCCAAACAAACACACCTAGGTAGGTTGTACAGAAAATGATACCCTTATTTTGGGATTGACGAAAATGGAAAATGGAACTCTTCTTAGGGTGTGTTTGTTTGGAGGTTTGGATTTTGAGTTGAGATTTGAATAATAAAAATTTTGAATTTGAAAATAGTTGTATGATGTGATATTTTGAATGTAAAATTAATTTTTAGTATAATATAAAAAATAAAAAATAGGTTTTGATTTGATATTTTTTGGAAAAAAAATATGATGAATAATGGAACTAATCCAATCCTCCAAACAAACACACCCTAAGGGAGTAGTATTTTTTTGTAAGTGTTATTCATTTGATTTTTTTATATATATAATAGATTAAAAAAATAATATTAGTATTTTATTAATTAGATAAAATGTCTAAGGTATTTTTTAAAAAAATATATTTTTTAATAAAAGTAATCATATACTAATATCAGTAAACTTTTAACTTTTATTTCAATTACAAATATATAATTACACGTACATTTACTTTTTACATAAAATTAAATAGCAAAATTATCAAAATTTCTTATTCATTTTACGCATTTTCACTGATCGATAAAATATTATTATGTTTTAATCTATTACATCCTAAATGGCCCCTTTCAAAAGAGACGGAAGGAATATTAAAAATTAAAATCAAAATTGAATCGAATAAATATCAAATTGGACACCAGTTACAATACTGAATGAAAGAAATCAAAACCATACTGACAACACATATCAAAAGTGGTATAAATGCAAACAACACATAAAGTTTTGAATAAAAGCACAATATAAACATATTATTTTTGCTAAATTGTGTTGTTTGTTTTATATTAAATAAATACTCCATTCCTCTAATTGAAATGTTGTCATTTTTTATTCTCGTCCGTCTCAAAACAAAGTTATCATTTCCTAATTTAGTAATTATACTAT